TAACCGGCAAGCCAAAGGGGTTAAAATTACCAAAGCGTGGACCAATCGGATGTCTCGTTTCTATTGAGGCCTCTAGTAGTAGTAACAGATATATTGATCGCTTAAACATGGGGCTATAATTGTATTATGGTGATTGACTTGTTTTTAAAAGCGTCTTTAAAACAAAAGAACCCACGAAACTTATTGTGATGCTAATACGTAATACATAATCAATGTCCCTTTACCACCACTCCCTCCCCATTGCCCACCCCTTTCACAATTGTTTTCAGTCCTACTAAAGTGTTTCGATCAACGGTAAGCTAATGTTTACAAACAATACATAGCTGTCGGCGGCGTTATTGCGGACTTATATGAACCCCCCTTTATGAGATCCACGTGTCATATACAGAGATATGACTTGTGGAGGGTCGGTAGTCACAACACCATTTCATCAGGGAAACCACTACTGCTGGAGTGCCAAGGAATGTCGATACGTATTAGTGTCCAAATCTTCTGCAATAGCACCAAATATTTAGTTCATTTCTGTCAGAATCATAAGAACTCAAACTGATAAGAAAATGGCAGATGTGTGCAAATTGTAAGTTGGCAATGTGAGTCCAATAGGTGGTTATCTTTTACTCCATTGGCTTTTCTGTACTGGATGTAAATAAGAATGTAAGACTCTTGCTAAAACATAAAAGGCTCCGCTGATACGACGTCGACCTATAGGACTTGTAAAACAGCATGCTTCTTGTAAAATAGCTAAGGCTCTTTAAAAACGATCGTGGGTAAAATTGAAAAGTCACCAAAACAGCAAATTTATTATAAGTATACTATTTTGGAAGACAATGCGGGGTGTTGGTGGAGTTTTGAAGAGATTTTTTGTGTTCTCTAAAAGTAGGTCACCATACAGACTTGTATTCAATGCTTGAAGCTTTCAATGCCCGTTTGTCGATCTAAATTTAGATTCTTCCGACGTTTTCTTCTTTGCTATTGACTTGCTACCAGCGCAGACTGTTGCGAGCCAGCCAACAAAGGTAATATGTGTGGACAGGTTTTTGTGCCGTTCCTTTGCCGGAGCGCCCGACAGGTTTTCTACCACGTTAACCCTCCCTTGCACGCGGCAGGGGTCTCGCCTTTTCTCGGCATTGTTACGGGCCTACCCCGTGCCTTCCTCACACGCTACAAAGCACACCGCACGGACACAGACCCTTTGATGACAGCATTTTCAGCTCTTTTGCTTTGTGCGAAGTTTGAGTTCGAAGCTGGCACCGCCACTGTTCCAAGATGCTGTGAAATCGATCCTACAGCCTTCCTCCCCATGGGGCTTTTCACGTCTGCTAGCCTCGCCTCGCTTCTTCCCAAAGCACGATTACATGGTCCTCCTGTTCCGTCCAAATTCCCGCGGCTCGCGCGTACCTTTCGCGTTCTCTCCCTGACAACGCGCCGTTGCCGTGCTCGGGGCACCGCTGTGCGGCAAAATCAGACCGCTTCCTCCAGCCTTCCCAACCCCGCCACTATTCGTCATCTCACCCGGGCCCAGACGAGCCAACTTTTCATCCTTCCCAAACACCCAGACTTATCATTATGTAAGTAAGACTCCAGCTACAACAGCATCAACAGAGTTGGCGGAGGCGTGACCTAGTCTTCCCGAGAGAGACCGGGCGCTCTTGTGGTTGATATCCTACCCAACAAGCCGCTATCACATCCGAACCTACACCGTAAACAGACTCGGCTGGCAAGTCAGTAAATCAAGCTGCACGCGCTGAGAGATATCCAAATCCAACACGCCAGTTTGCTGTTATGATTAATGCCTTAGCCTCCGTACATCTGACTGGTCCAAACAGGTGAACGGCAAAAATAAGAGCTCCGTCAGGCGCCATTTACTTCTTGGCCGGAAATAAACAGATGCCTTTGAAATATTTCCGTGCGATATGTTGGCGATAAAGAGACTGGGGACAGGAATCTTTCATGTCGACGTCATCTGACTGAAACGCCATGACAGCTGGAGTGATGAAAGCTATAATTATCGAGAATCTCAAACGTATAAACACCAGGATATTTCAACACATTTCCTCCTATATTTCTGAACATAGTTTATCCTTGCTAAGTAGTGTAGGTGTGATATGTGAGGAAACCTACACAACTAAGTAACGACATGATGACACAAACGCGTGTGTAACAAGATGACGCGTTTTTATTCGTCACCGCTTACGTCAACATTCCTCTGGTGTTACTGAGGAATCCTTGTCGTCAAGTCTGTTCCATAACTCAGAAACTTGACATGACGTTAACATTGCCAAAACGGTTTGGGCAAATCCTCCTCCAGAGACCGGCATATTTATAGCTTCAAACGATCTGCGCGAAGTTGTGCGGTGTATGACACAAAGCCGGACCTCCAGCGTACAAGAACTCCCGCTATGCACCGCGTGCAGCCTTCTCTGTTCTAATTTGGAAAATTGTGCAATTAGCATTTTATAGAGACTACAAGATAAGAGAATTATCCTTCAGTTTTCAGCCAAACTATTATAAACCTAACCTGCATCTGCACGTAACTTTTAATTGCTCAATTACCAGATTGAAGTCGCTCCAAAATAAGAAAGTCATCTTAAACATCAAAGTCGGGATTTTCTAAATATACTAAGGGTAACCCCCTTACTTGGCGCTGTGTCTATATTTTGCAAAGCCGTACCGTTTTGTACTTCCTACCATTTCCCGTGCCTCGTATCTTCGGTAATCAGCTGCTGATTTTGAAACGTTATTGGGTGAAAAACAGGAAAAGGGTTTGTTGATAACGCGAAATCTGCCGGGCTTTCCTTACGTCATACATATTTCCTGTTCACTACAAGCTGACTCTTACAAACAGGCTTCGTCATTCACGCGTCGTGCCAATATCACATTGCTACTTCATAATTCACAGTGTGCTTTTTGGGGGGAAATATAGATCAAACCGGCATTCCGATACCCAACCCTATTATCTAGAAGCCGAACTGCTAACCTGTAGACCACAAGTTCTGCTCAAAATCAATCTTTCAACGCAGTCGCCTACCATGATGCCATACCTGTATTGATAATAGTAATACTTCCTACAGTCACTCAGACTGCATATGACATATGGTCCTTCTATTCCTTCTCTCTCCACTTGACAGTCCCACACAGACCTCAACTTTAGCCCTTACTACTTACTATATTGGATAAATGTGGTTACACAACAACCAATTATCAGACTGAGCCCGGTGAGTTTAGTGGACTTTACCCAACCCCAGGTCTTAACTCTCCCCACCAGTGTGGTCCTCGTATAAACCAACTCTTACCTAACCAGGCCACACCTAGGCCTTACAATATTAAACTCCAAGCAGACGTGAGATAAGGCTCAGTTAGACGATTCATGCCATGATTTTCCATTTTACTTTGTATTCTTCTTTCTACATTTTACTTACATTGCTTAGACTCTACATTCTAGCTTTCTTCTATCAAGTTCATTGTAGATTTTTGTAAACCACCCCGATATGAATGTTTTGTCCCTATTTTTGGTACGTTGCCTTCCAATACGAGCTGGCACCGTGCCGGTTTGTGGTTATGGTTGACTGTGCCGGCCATTCCTGATAAACCATTTTACAGACGATAGCCAACATAAAAAGGGCAGAAATGACGTGATAATTCAAAACAGGAGAATGTATAAAAACAGCTCAATCACAACAAAGCAAATACAAGAGAGCTGGAAATTGAGGTTTTCTTGTAAAACATTTATGGACATGACGCATTCTTTGATGAGTTAAGACAGACACGTTTATTTGCCCTTAAGCGTAGCTTTTAAAACGTCACGTTATCGCTTACCAGTCCGTTTTCCATGTTCTGTTTAACTATCATGGCTGGCAAATTACTCTGACCTTCCGTTCCTCTAGTAAAACATTTACGGACGTGGTGTGTGTTATCACTGATGCGAGTATCTCTCCACTGTAAACCGTTAAAGAGTTTATCGTCAAGCCTGTCTGTGTTCTCAACACACCATGTTTTGACGTTTGTGTGTGTGAGAGGTTTTGTTTTTGTTATGTCATTCTGTATCGTAGGTGTTTTCGTAATACTGTACAGTCTGTTATTTTGTACTTTGTTTACCCAGCATTGCCTGAAAAACAGGTTGTTATGTACCTGAGTGTAACTGCTGTTGAAGTAAATAAACTGAAACTGAAACTCTTTTTATTCTATCCTAGACCGCTGGAGCCGAGGTTACCTAACCATGCTGACACTGCAATGTTGTGAGCTACCCTCTTTGGCATTAAAGGAACAAATGGTAAGTTTTGTTTTTATATTTTTAAGAAGCTTTCATAATCTTTTTAAATATGTGCACCTTGTTACATTGAAACACACAGAACAGCACTAGGATCGTGTCAAGTTTGATTTCCACAAACAGCCTTGGGTGGTCCATTAAATGAAACCTTTTCCCTTCCTAAGCTGTATGTATCAACTACTAAGTACAACATTTTCCCAGCGACTACCCCTGGACTACTCCGTCGGTAGCTGTTAATGTCGCCAATACCTAAGCACGTTCTTAGAAACTAGCCAACCTTGTGAGTTCAAAGTCATCTTAATTCTTCTTTTTTCCGTGGAGAATTTCCCCTTGACTTGAAGTCTGTCTATCTAGTATGAGGTACAGAGCGGGATTTTCCCGCCTTGGTAATGAACGTGTCTCTATTTACCTTCCATTAGCGCGCCGCAGACTTGAAAGCCTGCTTTGCCTCTTTAATGAGGCAGAAAGACGAAGGTTTTGACCTGCACTTTCCCGGAGTCGTGCCCAGACAAGTCTGCCTTACCCTGCCTGGCGGCTTAGTAGTCATTAAAGCCCACTTATGTCCAATGACCACCATCCCTTTAACCACCCTTGTAAACCGGGCTTGATAGCCCAATCGCTGCGTGTTTGTAAGTCCTTACACATGGGCGGAAGTGTGCGGTAAGGAGGGCATTCATTCCTTGTGCAATACTTTCACAGTTACAATGATGGCGAAAAATGTCTCATTTCATTTCTTTAACCCAACCCACCCCTCAAACGTCTACTTATTACCAAGTAGAATCATAACATTCGCAATGCATAATGTTTACTTTAATAAGGCCTATCCTAACAAACTACGGCGATGTTTATAATTACGCAAATACATTCATATACTAGTATATGGTGACCAGCCCCTCTAACTCTGTCCAACATAATGTAATCCGACACCACAGAGTGTCTGCTACAGCACCAGTTACCATGGTGACAGCCGTTTGGTCCAGGTCATTGACCTTACGTGTTTGGAGAAGAAGAAATGGGGAAACCCCTTTTTCAGTACAGTTACAACTTATTTGCACTCACCAGCCGGCCTGCTCTGTTGTTATGAAGTCTCATTCTCGAGAAGATGTCCACCGACGTCTCGCGAGAGTCCAGGAAATCCTTGGAAAACTTGATGCCGTACTCAATGTTGTGGCTACAACCTCCCCACGACCAATCGTTGTACGACTTGCCGCCGCCACTGTTCGTGTGTAGCACGGCCGTCTGTCCCTGCGTGTACCCCGGAGGGTACCCTGGGATCGGGCCGCCGGGGATGGCCCCTGGGAAGGAGCTGGGGGAGTAGGTGGGGATCTGAGGCTTGGTGGGGTAGTCATTGTCACAGCCGCACGTGTGCAGCTTCCCCAGGCTGCAGGCGTTCGCCACGGCGTGAGCCACTCCCGCAGACACCGACGCGAAGGTGAACGCTGTCTCCCGGATACCTGAGGCAGGAAAAACACAACTGTTTTAGTACAAAAGTTTCTATCAAATGCTCTAAGTCTAGGACTTGTGTTTCCACCTTATACGTCACCGCCGCCATGTTGGTGGACGGAGTAGATCCAAGATGGCGACCGGTCATTCGTCAGGCACAGACAAGGACTCTAACAAAGGAACTAAGTCGCGATGAGGCAGAGGGAAACTTTTCGTATTGTCTGTGACACACAATGGTTTGTATATTTGATGTGACTACATTGTGTACTTTTATATACATTCCCGTATTTTGCTCATACAAAACATAAACCATTTACATATTCCAATGGGAAAATTAGCCCTTCTATACGACAAGTTTGAAACAGATGACTTGGAACATTCATGTTGACAAGAGGTGCCATTGCGCACGCCCTAAGGCATGCCGGGAGTTCGAAGCTGCATTCTTTCCAAGATGGCGGACTTCACTCATAGTGACAGAGCGATGGAGTGATCAAAGCTGGGCCGTTATCACGCCAAGGATCTGGTCCGACCTTGTCCCTCTTCTGTTTTTGGTCCGAGATAAAATTGTCGTTTCGGACAAGGGGATAGATCTATCATGGCGACGTTGAAAGGGATTCAGTGTGAGTGTGAGTGACGGGCCAGACTGGTCCGAGTCTGGGAAATTAGCTCCCATCTGGCAGTGGGTGTCTTGTGATAAAACCAGTCCAAACAGGAAGTCTAAACAAAGCTTTTACCACAACTTTCGTAACTTAATTATTGGAATGACCCTACAACAAATCTCCAGGTATGTTTCAGTGTGCGGAAATCAGTGTGAATTTGAGAAACTACTACCTTATTTGAAAGGTCATACAATGACATAAAGATCCTACTTTGTCAACTTTAGTCACCATCTTTTCAACGATTTTCGGTAATGTATCGTCCTTGGATTTGTAAGCCGCTACACAGGAAAATTCGTCCACACAATGATGCCCTCCACCTTTCTAACTGAATTTCCCCAGCCAAATCCTGAGCTGGGTGAAAGGTGCTCCTTGGACGCATGGTGAGACATTTGGGGACCTTGTTAGTGGAAACAACTTCATCTCAGCTCTTGCTTACAAGGCATCATCAAAGGCCTAATGTCCAAAGGCACTGACTTATGCTTAGGTCGCAATTCCAGACATGGGCAATATACACATGATTGGTTTTCAACTTTGTTTTTGTTTCATATCATACTTTTCGTTGTTGAGAACTATTTGGCCGGGAATTGGAAAAAAACTCTTGATCTGTCCCTACAGTTGAATAGCCTTGACGAGCCTTGGTATCAGTCTAGATAAACGTCTTTCCAGAAATCTAATCTTTTCTTCCTTGATCTAAGACCTGATAACCACCAAGCATGACATCCTGTCCACACCAAAGAGCCTTGGCAAAGTATAACCGCCACGGACGTAACGCGCATAGAGAGCTATAATATTACACTTCGATCATATGCACGGCTATGGTATCATAGCTGCCGAACCACACAAGGCTATCCGCGCGCATAGTTGATCTTATCGTCTGATCCAACTGTCAATCATACAGAGGACGGCGTTGTCTGTTTGATGACAGTGGACTTGGAGAGGCTTACGGTTGTCATCGGCTCTTGAACCGCTCAACTTGACAAGCACTTATCTGCCGGGGGTCTGCAGTGTGTCCGGCTGGACGCACGTGTCAGCTACGGGATGGCCACGGGACCGAAATGTCCGCACTACAGGTTTACCCTTGTCTTTAGCCTTTACCAACGATTTACTGAAGCAGTCAGTGTTTTTATGCTATTTAGGGTTCACACACACACTCTCTCTCTCTCACACACACACACACACACACACACAGTGACACACACACATACCCACACAAATATATACACATGCAGGCAGACAGACACACAAACAAACATACACACACACTCACACACACACACACACACAGAGACACTCGCAAACACACACATACATACACACGCACAAGCAAACATACAAAGATACACATAAACACACACAACACATATCCGTCTGTGTGAAAGTCTCTTCCAAAACCAACAACAGAACGTTGCCCTCGGCCTCGGTAATAGTTTGTCTTCTATTTTTATCATGGATGTCATCGCCTGATCCTTTCTAAGTACAAGAATAAGACGTCTGGAAGCCATCTTCATTATCTTCAAGTCTTTTGGGAGGGGGGGGGCAACCGCACAGAATACTAGTACAAACTGAATAACGACGAGTTTCATAATATATAATACCTTTCTATAATTAAGCTGTGTGATATCTATGATATAGATGATATCCATTAGCTACATTTGGAATAGTGGGATGCCTTGTAGACACAACATGAAATTATTTGTAGGGGCAAACACACGCATAAACTGGCTTGGCGGAAGGGGAAAGTGTGTATGGAACTTAGGCGGCATTCTAGGGCAACTGGTGACCTAAGGCGGGGGGGGGGTAGTCAGGTATGGAAGAGTGACCCATGCCAAAATGCGCCACTATCATTAAATGTTTAACTCCTTTAGACGTTTTATAGCATTTTGTCTGCTTTTTAATTTTACGCCTTATGTGGTGCGCTTTTTCTATTAAAAAAGAGTCCAAACCGCACGTCTGCTTGGAGATGACGCCCCTAGTGGCTAGCGCCCACCCTGGCCCCGGCTCCATCCCTCGCCCCTCCCGAACACCCTGCTATTACCGCACGGTAGGTGGTCGTGTCCAATCTAAGACAGCCCCCCGCCTCTGCTGACAGACACGTACAATAGACGCCCGCACTTGAACATGTTTGCAAACTTCACACTGCCCCGGACTGAGAGATAGGGCTGCTGATATTTCCCTCAAACTTCCTGCTCGTATTTCTTGACGTAAACGACATGGCTACAGACTGTTGCACGCCGCTGACGCGACTCTGACGCGTCATAGACGCAGGGAAGAATTGAGAATGGAATCGAGTCGATGCAGTGAGTGGCTCGCGTTTGTCGTCGGGGTGCTTCAGGGTCGCGACCCGGTACAGGAGATTCCACTCACGGTGTGCCGGACTTGGGCGCGTCCGCAGCCGCCCAACATGCGGGTCAAGTGCCGCTGTGAGCTCATGTCAGTCAACGGGCTCCACTCACAAGGAAACTCACCGTACAAAACCACTACCCCAACAGATACGGAAATACGCCTTCAACACGACACTGCAGCTGCCCTAGATTCAGAAGGTAGTTATACTAGCCTGGTTGCCAGACTTTTTCAATGCCCCACAGTCCCGGGCCCCATCAGTTAGGCCCTGATCCCTGGCTAACTCTGAGCCTAGAGGGCTATGGGTCTGATACCCAGGCTAGACATATACGGGTGTAGTTGCTGCCTGAGTACCTACTGTATTGTCATGTTACAGTTTTAGTAAAGGTAAAATGTTACTATGTATACAGAGGAGAGGCCCGCCTCCTTTAGTCCCTATAAACCACACGGCGAATAGCCCCGTCCTTAATGCGGTCCACACCTTTCAACGACGTGCTAAAGTTCTGTGTACTATCCACAAGCGCGCTGCCGGGCTCCCAGAGTGATTGACGAAGCCCAAACAAGCCGGCAAGCTCGCGGTCACGAACTTGGCAACTCCTCGCCACCCCGACATCTTGTTTTCTGTCTCTTTAGTGTCGGACGGATGTTGAAATGTTGGGCAATTTGGCTATAATGATTACTGCGACGACAGACGCGACGTTTGTTGTTCACATGAATCACACACAATGTCCTGCGAGGAAAAAATGCCAAAGGAGGAAATGCCGGGAATTTCTGATCACTGTAAAGCGTTCAGTCGCACCACGTTCTTCTAGAAAAAGAAGGCCAGGTCTTCCCACACCTGGCCCCGTGACGCTTAAGGAATCTTAGAAGGAATACTTGGAGGAGGAGGACACGACCTCTTTGTAGTGGTACAAATTTGTCGCCTGCTCTCTGTGCACCTGCCTGCGTACACACAGGAGGCCTGCTCAACAGAACAGAGGAGGGGGTTCAATGTCACGTGAGAGTGACGTCATTTTCCGTCCGCCATGTTGGCTGGTTAACGACTTTCAAACAGAAGTAGGATTGGTGTAAAAATCAACAACGAGAAAATATTTGACAAAGGCATCTGTGGAAAAACAAACGAAAGGCATTTCCCGAACTTACCAAAGTCTTCTAACTTAAGTTAAGTATAGTCTACGAAGCATCTGTATGGTCCTGTATGGCCTAAGTATAGTTATGCCCCCCTCCCTCCTAAACTTACACAGCGTCCAACACTACCCCGGTAAGACTCAGTCCTGTCAGATCTAGCGAGGACGTCTCGCTGGGAGCGTTTTGGCTGTTGGCAAAGCGTCAAGACGTGAAGTGTTTGCAGACGACTGTGCTGATGTCTTGTGACAGTATCTGGATATCATCAGCACCTTGCCTTCAGGTGGTACTTAAGTACATGTCAGGTAACACCTTTGTCTGCTGGCTTCTCACCTTTTAGTCATGTCAATGGGAGGGTGGGGTTCTTTTGTTGTTCCCGAACCCGTTTTGGACGTTGATTATATCCTACCCCATGCACAGACCGCCTACCCTCTTTCCAAGATTCTTTAGTTGTGTAAATATGTGTGAGGATGAACATTGTTTCTATTTTTCTCGTGCAGTTTTCCGTCGACGAGTACCTACGACAAACTTTTCTGTCTCAAGACAAATTAATTTTGTACGACACATCTACGACTGTCTCACAGCTGTCCTATGCTGTCGTAAATATATCGTACGACCAATGTGATCGGGCCCTTGCATACAATGTCGATAAATTTTTCTAGTCCTCTGTACAAAATATTTCCTCATGATACATAGCTCATATCTACCCATGGAACATGTCAGGAAGACAGCGCTGTACAATTCTGCCACCAAATCGACACTTTCAAGTCGACAATAAAGATAAGACGTCAGCCTTACATCGTGGCACGACAATAAAGATAGGCTGATGCCAGACGTTTAAATAGCGCGTGAGACGGTAGGAGTCTTCTTGGATAAGCTAATCTAATCTCTCTTGCTGACACTGGCTGGCTTGGCAGGGTGATCAGTCTCCTGTGGCTGCTACCCGGGGCAAAAGGTCCCTGACATGAGCTTATTACCTTTCAGAATCCAATCCTCAGTTCTAATTATCTCTCGTGATGAACAGACGTATCAATGGGTCATTGTGGAGGAATGCAGGCCGCCATAAATGTGGAGCTGAAGTGTCGGAGAGAAGATTTATGGTCCACCTTGCGGGTTAATTGTTTAGCTCTCCGCTCTCTCAGGACCATCTTCAGGAGTGGGAAAAACAACCCTTCTGCTGTGTGGACTCCAAATGCCCGTCGGCAAGTTTCTAAATATTTCTGCGGCGCGTTGTTCTGGGAATGGTGCTTTATTAGAACGGGTCAAAAGTTCGTGCTGTGCCGGGCCCGACGGTAAACTCTCCCCCAGCCGTGTACGGGAAGGGCGTCTCGTGATTTAAGACTTAGAACTTCGCACGCGAAAGGTTCGCGCTGTTTGTAGTCTGGAGCGGTTTAAATGAAGGAACAACAAGTACTTAATTGTACGGTTGGAAGCGGCGGGTCGGTTTTGTACCTCCCTGCACATCTGTGCGCTCTGAAATTAAACCATTTGATGAAGTAGTTGCTGCTGGGGGGAGAAAATTGCTCGGTCCTGTCTCAGGGAGAGGTTTGTGGGCGCCCCTCGGCTCGCCCCCGCGTCCACCGCCGGGTGACGGATGGAAACAGCGGTGAAACACAGTCATATCTACTGTGGGAATGTATTAGGAGATCAACGCACCAGGCAGGCACTTTGGAAACATAGCACGATGGTCCTTAACAGTGGAGAGAGACAGGCAAAGGTAGTTTCCTGTTTAATGGCAACACCTCATTGGTAGAACTGAGACATTTTGTTTCTTATTGCGTTATATTGATCTCCAAGAGGAACAATAGGAGTATAACGTTACATGCCGACAACCCTACCTATAACGTACCTTAATTCTTTTCCAACCTTTGCCGATTGAAAAGACACTAGACCCACAATAAAGCAGGACAGTCGCACTGACAGAAAACGATTATTCATGTGAAAACGCAAAGCTCATTTTTTTCGGAAATGGTTATTTTGAGGGAAGGGATCAGATACGTAGCACATTTTCGTCATCATTTCATAATTGAAGCGTTTGTAATAGCCCCAAAACAAGTTACGCGAGGAGTCCCTTTATTTTGTGGTGCCACCGATAAAAGTAGCTAGGACCAGCCTAGGGTACGAAACAAGCAACCTTTTTCGTCAGAGACATCGTATTTTTTGCCTCACTGATATCAGTATGCTATGTGATAGGGTTAATTCAATTTACTACAAGAAAATTGCCAGCCAATTGACTTTAAAACGTGAAATCTCTTTGTGTGCCTGTAATGAATGCTTGAGTCCGGCCCGGTAGCCTGACTGTGAATCTTCCATTACAAGTGGGTCCCACCTCCGGGGAGGGTCCGTTCTCCGGGTTAATAACACACATCGTAATTCTTCTTCCCGCCAACTCGCCTGCTGTCCGCTCACGTCATTCTCAAACGATCCTGACGACAAAACGTCTCACACACAGAAACATCCCAAACTTTACCACACTAGCATGGCAACCACTCCTAGCCGAGAAAAAAAAAGAAAACAAAACAATTTCCTTCCTAACGTCCAATCACAGCTGTCAACCGTCCATACAGCGGCCTTTAATGAAGATCCATGAAGATAAATCGGGTCTTGTTTTGGTCTAAAGTCTCCCCGCGCCCCCGTCTGACCTCTCCCTGCTTCTACAGATCGTGTCTGACAGAACCACGAGGCTGGAGTCCTCCCTCTGACTTTAACCCAACTTTTATCTGTAAAATGAGGGTTAAGATGAGACGAGATAACCGGCATGTCCCTCCTCCCCTACACAGTACAGACACTGCTCCGGCCCGTAACACGTCTCTCTGCGGTTCCTTGTTTCTGATAAAATTCTCATATTGGGTTTCTTCTCCGGGGTTAGCCCATAAGGACGGGGCTTGATCCTCCCGACAGGGGGCTAACCCTCTCCCCGACCGCTGCCGAGCCTTACCGAGTACCGCCCGGCCACAGGACGATCGCGTAACATCGTCGCGCTGTTGTCATTTACCTATTCATTTCCACACACAATGAAATTACACTGAGAGCGAGCGCCAACTGGGAGGTAATGAGTTTTAGATTGAGGCAGCCTCCCTCCGCTACCAAAGCCCTATTACAGCAATGAACTGGATATACCCCATCTGTGTCACGTATCCATTCTCAAGGTCTAGATAAGATTATAGGAACTCTTATACCCCTAGAACCACACGACAAGGGCCAGGAAATATCCACAATGTTACTGTTGTGTTGAAGGACGAACGGGATTTGAACCCGTGACTTCTAGTACCCTATAGACAGAGAGGATATCGTTAAAAAAACACAAAGTCTGTACCAACCTTTCCTAGCGATCTGTGTGAGATGCGGGTTCTTGTTCTTGGTCTCCAGGTTGGAGCAGTTCCATCGGTGGTTCTTGAACTGCCACTGACACTCGTGGATGGCTATCTGCACGCCCTGGATGGCCGCCGCCGTCACGTCGGGGTACTCGTAACACAGTTGGAGCTGCTTCTTGCTGAGTCCGGGGAACGTACGGCACACGGTGTTGGCGTTCAGCACAGGGTCTTCCGGGATCTTCAGGCCAAGGATATCGTTCCCCGTGGCCCTGCGTTACACCACCCAGAAAAAAACAGAAACAATCGCTCAACAAACCGAAATTTATATCGCGTAACAATTATGAGTAGAGTAGAGAAGAGCAGAGTTCATCAGTACACTAGAGCACAATATAGTACAGTAGAGTAGAGGTAGAGTAGAGGTAGAGTAGATAGAGTACGGTAGAGTACAGTAGAGTAGAGTACAGTAGATCTCATCGGTCAGGTAGGAAGATCTCTTCCACTTGGGGCCGCTCATCAAATTATTATTTACTGAACTGTCATTCCCTGCCTCTGCGGACAATCCAGGGCCATATATTTCCAGTCATATACTACCGGGTGGCATTCCATGTACGTACTTAATAAGGGTACAATTTACAATGCATGCAAGTTACTATACCATGCTTATGGGAACAGTAACACCAAATGTCTTACTGGGTCACGAATTGCACTACCACATAACAGTGAACAAAACGACCCGATGAAAATGAAGATGACATTTGAAATCCTGCCTGCCCACCTACACAGTCTGCGAGCCTGGAGTAGACAGAAGCGGTTCACGGGGTCGAAACGTGTCTGAGGTTTTCCTGTTACCGTTCGGGATGTTGTGGTTGTTGTTGTGTTTATTTGTTTTGCCAACAAACCATCTTGACTTAACCCTCCTTTCCTGGAGACTCGCCGATATGCTAATAAACAAACTATAGAAAAGCCACGTGCCGCAAACCATTAAATACATGGTATTAAGATAATGTTTTGGGCTGAGCTAAAGATTCTTCTAATTTCACGGCTGAGAGAGAGACGGAGAGACAAGGAATCAATCCCAGCACGGTTAATCGGTTCTGACTGGAATGTGGAAGGTCGCCCCGAAGTCGTCTGAACTTCTCTGTTTCCAAACTTGAAACTGTGAAAAATTGGGGGCAGCGCCCGAAAGACAGCAAAGTGTCTTCGCCGGTGGGCTGAATACTAACGCTCGGGCCGGAGATAAGGCGCGTACGATCAATCACACGGCCTGGGCTGCAGGTTAGCTTCTTCCTGCACCGTCTCTCTGTCCTGTAAACTCTGACTGTTCGTACAAACACTCCAACTGGCCGCCACAATCAGCCAAACCTTTGAAGCCGTCCCTCCACACAGACACACAAACAGGTCAACTGGACCAGGGCTAATCGATTTAAAACGTTGTTCTACCAGCCCCGTTTATTTGCCCATTTTCGTTTCCGCAGTTGAACAGGGTGAAAATTGAATGTTGAGGCGTGAGGCATGCATACTCCCGCGGGGAGCCCCGCTCAGGGAGAACCGACAAAATCAGGGGAAAACAGTCGCAGGGAGCGGAGACAATTGATTCTCCGGACGTCTCTATGTGCCCTGTACCTATTGTCTGTGTGTGTGGAGCAGGCAGCACGTACATGTACGTCTCGGTACTACGGACCGCGCTAGCGTACCGAGAATCCCGGGTCCGTACTGCTGAAACACGGGCACGCCGCCCTAAATCAAATTTTGCCGTCTCCGCGTGCTTGGGGTGCCCTGCTTTCAAAGTATGCTAATAAAATGAAGCGATTGGGTGGTCAAGCAAGAAAGTGGAATGTTTGTGTGGACACCACAGCCGGACACAAGCGGGGTCTAGCGTTACGTCCGTGCCAGCCCGCCCTGCCCTGCCGACCTAGACCCGACCGTCTCAGGAGACCCGCGTTAACTACAGCTTAACTACGGACCTGTAAAAAAACACACCGTATCATTACATCAGGACTCCGGCCAGACGCCCAACTTACCTCAGTTCGGGCACCAGGCTAAGCAGGACCCAGAAAAGTATCGTTCTCCACATTGTTAGAGTAAGGCATCGCAACTGCGAAGGCAGAAGGTGGTGTAAGGCATATCCCGTCCTGCTGGCGGCCTCGTCAGGCAACGAGCTCGAGCCGTCCGTCCGTCCCGGCCCCGCTGCACTTCTCTCCCGCGCCAAATTCCCTGGTCCCGCGCGGCGGAGCACTTCGCCAACAAATGTAGTAATCCAGAGGGTTCTCTCCGACTTGAACACGCGCCAAGGAAACACTGTCTCCTCTTCTGCCGGTTTCGGGCAGGGCCGCTAGCCTAACAAAGACCCCGTGCCCTCACCAACTCTCGCACCGCGAGTTCCACAACTCGTCTGACGGAGAACGCAACACCACCGACCGGTCAGCCTGCCGTGTACACCACAAGCGCCCCAAGGAAAACCCTCATCACACCAACAGGGTGGGACTAGAGACCGTAACCACCCGTCCTCTTCTGTTGTTAGTCATCGAGGTAATTTTCTCCGGGCCTGTAGCTTTAGAACACGTCCTGGTGACACTAACAGAGAAAACCGGCAGCCTACGAGGAGAGGACTGATCTAAATGGATAGGCACTGACTGTTGTTTCGTCTCAGCGTGACCAACACTTGAGGAGGGACCACCCGGGCCTGCTGAAAACAGCTGCCTGGTTCGGGTTCACTAGACCCGCTCAGGGACCAGGAGGTTGGGGGTTCGAATCCCGTCTGTCGTCGCGCGGCTCACTTGCTAGTTACAGAAAAGGGGTTTAGTCCTGAAACCTGGGCTGTAAAATGGGTCATGCCATGTCATGTCATTTTTAAACGACACCTAGCATTTCCATCTTGCAATTGCAGTATAGGTTCTTTTGGGACATTTCTTTGTCACAGTTTGTGAGTTGTGTACAGTATATAAAGGTTTATGGTTAGTTACCCGAAAGGCTGGTAACACGTTCTTGGTGATGTGAACCGTGATATGATTTCAGCTAGCCCGCAGTCGGTCCATCCCTGCGCTGTGATTGGCTGGCAGAGCGCAGGGCGATGTAACTTAAGAAATTTCTCAGGGCTGGGTCCGACTTCATTTGCGTTTCACGGGGATAAGGAAAACAGGCTCAGCTTTGATGGCTTCTTAATTGGCAATATCAATCGTGTGCGGCCGGGGCTGGCCAGGGCTGAGGCCGGCTGATCAGGTGGCCTCGTGTGATCACGGCCGCTGTCGTCATCATAACACGGTACCGCCTGGACCCGTCATACCGACTACCCTTCAGTACAGAACTTACATAGTCACGATCCCATTGCCTAGTTGCCAAACCTATTTCAGCTGCCGAGTCTCTTCGTCCTATCCACAAATACTAGTTTTCGGACAAACAAGACATGTTAAAAGTAAGAGCAAAAAGATCTGCAGTTCGAAAGAAAATCGCTAGGTTAATCCAAATCTATTTGTTTTTCCGTTCAGTTCAGATAACACATATCACAAAAATCCACATGTATCATTCACTCACCACATGTATAACTTCAACAAACAAACAAACAAACAAACAAACAAACAAAAATAATGGTACTCTAAACAAAAATTCTGGGACGCTGTCATTAAAATGGTAAGATAAAGTCGAGTCTGTAGAGAAGAGTACACACAGCAGAAGTACACACAGTTCTTGTCCTGACACCTCATCTCCATCTCCTGTCCCCAAGTAACCCCAGAAAAGACGTATATTCTCAGTAAACACACCTGACATATGAAGGATGGAGTTACAGACTCAAGCAGGAGCACTGCTTTGTTCTACTGTCACTGGGGCGACACAGACATGTGGCAATGTACCAGTCGTTCCAAGCACCGTGTTTTATCGTAATTGGCAGTTAACGTGTAATTTGATTAAGTCACGATTGGCAGCCTGTTTTTCTGTCTTTTCCAGTTCATACGGGGTGCGTTTGTCTTTGATACTAACGTTGCTTATTTCACCCATTCAAATTAAAATTCGTCTAGACCGTCCTATCACCAAGACATAGGAAACCGGATTGTCTCTGTCGCTTGGCTATAAAAGTACTTTGAAATAGTTGTGATGGATGAAAGTTGACACATCGGCCTGCTTTCAGCCTCTCTTTGTGACTCTTTCAAAATCGAAGTGTACGTTTGTCGTGAAGACTGCGCCAGGGTCCAATTGTCCCACTCTGCGTGCCTGACGTATTAACAGGTGCGCGTAACTTCACACATCTTGTACTGATGAGTCCTCAGGCGGAGAAATTGACCACGGTTGGGCCTGTGGTAACACCTGGTTACCGGTGGCAAGGTCCCGCCGACATGGCTCAGTCAGCCCCGTATTTTCTTGTACAGATTAGGTACAAAGCCACAGTGTGATCTCGCAGTGACCCACCACCCCTGGCGACTGTACAGGCTAAGCTCATTACAACAAGCACGAACCTGAACATTTCCAACAACTGATGACTCACCTTAGATGCCTCTGTGATTCTGACTCACTGGCCAATCAACACTGCAGGCTGCCTGGACACGTACGGAGCTTAATCTCCAAGCAGATCCTAGGGTGGCAAGACAGTATCCATTGGCGCATGGTCCATTAGTCACAAGGCAATTCTGACTATTCTTGTTGTACAGCACAGGTGTCGCTGCTATAGATGCATTCCCAAGCGTACAATGTGAACCAGTCAGATTTGCAATGAGGAAGGTGACAGACGGTCACCAAAACGTCGGCTGAATAGAACAGTTGGTTGTGTGAAAAAAGGAGTCTCTTTCTTGAGCTCGATAAAAAATTCCGTCCCTGTTATGACCAAGGAGGGTAGAAAAACTCCCTGCGACCGCGTCTACCGGGCACTCCGAGTGCCTTTCTCGATCGCGACTACATTACCAAGCGTAAGCTGCATTTCTGAATGGAATATCACACCCTTTATCAACGTTTGGACCCCCTTCCTCTAATCTTCAAGACATGTGTGTGTTGAATGCGGCTATCCCTGAGCTTGTCCAGCCGCCATGGCGCTCTGCCTGCCCGGCGCACCTGCCGCTGCTGTCCGGCAGACTAACGGGACACAGACAGGTGCACAGGTCTGACTCCGCCCACCGGACACGTTCTCATATGTAGTACACACCAACAACACCCTTATAGATGATGATTTGTTACACATTTTCACTTGTTTTCTCATGATGCGTTGTTTGTATTCAGGTAGCGCTTACAGTGATTAGAGTTGTATAAATGTAGCAGAAGAGGGTTGATAGGTGATTGAGTAGAATGCGATGTTGGTGGGGTTATGGCCTGGACAGCTGGACGGGTGAGTGAATTGTGATGTGCGTGCTCGGCGGTAACGAGCCGCACTGGTCAGTTCCGTTCTACTGACCTCAGCTGGACACTGCACATATACCGGCCCACACATGCCGTCTCACTACTACACGGTGGGAAAAGTCGCGATTGGACATTTCTTCTCGCTACTCAGTTTTGTATAGCTACGTTTCAGCAAGGACGTCAGAGCAGTTAGAATCAAATAGAAAGAACAAATCATTCTGTACTATCTGATCTGTCAGTAACTAGTTACTGGTGAGAAAGATTTCATATTTCCGGTGTCTTTTCAATATGTATATATTTAAGGTGACTACTGCCCAGTGTTGTATTTGTTTTGTCAAAATAGTATAACCGTTACTCACAACATTCTAAGTGACAGATTCTCAGGAAGTAGAATAATGGAGAAATATTAGCTTCCAAGAAGTCATACAATATGTTTGCCGCACACAGCGTCAGGAGAGAAGAAAAATTCAAACTAAAGACCGTTAGATCTGTGGCGCTGATCCCCAATCATTCCCAGCTTAGGAGCGGCCCGCAAATTGGCCAACAATCCTCGGGACTTTGTCGGATCTTGTCGGAATGTGGTAATATGGTACAAATTAGACGTCTAGATGTCCTTGTACAGGAGATAGCGTTATTGGCGTGTCCCGCGACTTCCTAGAAACGGAAAGTAGCTCCGGTAGGTTGAAATGTTACACCCTAATTATCGAGTTGGGTTTAAAAGTGAGTCGTATTTCCTGCGGTAAAGACATGTCAATGACATTTAAAGGTCGGTGGGATAGCTTTGGCCTTCCTGATACAGACCACAGAAGGGAAACAAGAGAGACGTTACGAATGACAGATGGTATAAAGAGAAGAGTACAGCAAGTCATCAGAATTTGCGCAGCTGAAAAGTAACTCTAAAACTTTATCTCCAAGCAGATACATTTAACCTGGGCCGGGTAAACACGCTCACCATTAGAAAGACAAACAAAATACTGCAAATAGCACATGTAGAAAACCTGGTTCGAAAGACATTGTTTCATTGAGGCACTTCTTATAACGGATATATTGAAACTTATGCAAGAGTGCACAACAACTAGAATACCATTTTCCTGTATGCTATCATCTGTTCTACTTAGTTAATTCGTCAAGAAAGTTCTGGAAGTGAATCATGCCATTTAAACTTCACTCCTACGGGGATATCTCATTTAATAAGCGTCCGGTGGCCTCCATATTCCAGCGTGACTCATGCCATATCGCCGGGACCACCATGCATGCAGGCAGCATTTTTACAGAAACACGAATTACAAATGGTCCGGACTGACAAGCGACTTCCTGGCTTCGCACAAGTGTCAGGAAGTGGACAGGGCGCTTTTCTTCTTGGAAAAGACAGTCTGGCACGATGTCAAGTGTCATTACTCCGCAAAAACACTGCGACTTGCCGTACTTCTGCACACATTATGACGTCGTCTATAGGGGGTCTAATTCTCCGGGCCAACAGACCCCTCTAGGCAGAAATGCTGTCGTTCTGTACAACGCGCATGTGTGAGACAAATGAGTTCACAGGTGGTGATAGGAGACGACAAAGACCAGTCTCACTAGGGGTGACCTCTCCAGAATGTCGCAGATGTGGAGGCGAGTTTGCTTGATATGCGGGTATATTGGCCGAGCTGCCAACTTCCATTACACCACTCCAGCGGCAGTTGTTTTCCTGAAGGTTTTTTGGCAGAGCGCAGCTTGAGCTTCGGGATCTAATTTCACGCGAATTATTTTTCCTGTTCAAGTCAAATGTCGTGCAGGGCGCACTTTTTGTTGGGAAACAAAGTTAGTCTAAAGTCGGTACAAGCACGGCGTTGTTTCATTACACAAAAGAAATGGTCGATTAGTAAGCTTTCAAAAATGTACTTCGCACAAACTTTCAGAACGTTTACTTGGACAATGTACTCTTGGAAGAAATAAAACTCGATAAAAAATGTGACATATTGAACAGCAAAGTTAATCGTTAGGCATAGTGCGTCTCTAACTTATAATTCATAACACAGTAACGTCCTTTTTACGACTTCTTCCCCCATCTCCAGTATTTCTATTGTTTTAAGATCTTGTGAGAAAAATAAATCTTGCCAATGATTCAATCAACAAGACGACAGATACAGCAAGTCTTCCCACTTATATGATGGTCATGAAATATACCAGATACAGAATGAAAACGATCAAACAGAAGGGGGTGAATTTAACAAATACATAATGGTGTCACTTAATGCAACAAGAACATATGCAAAGTCGTATAAAAGTCCCAGTAGACTAGCACCAGGTGCTGTCAGCCATTCGGTGTGCCCAGGCGGCGTGCCTGACGTAATAGCCTGGAACAGGCGCCAGACCGGTCGGTTTGTCCCTCCAGATGTTCCCGTCCCGGTTCTTTGTGCGACAAACATACAACCTGCGGAGAGCAGAAGAATGGAGACTGGAACAGTACAAAGCCTGG